CAGGATCTGGCAACCACAGACCTGTTAGAAAGTAGTTTATACCGAGTCATACAGTCAGTGTGTGGCCTTTTAAGGATCATTTCTTTTATTTATCATAATTCATTTGAAATTCATTTGTATTCTTGCATGTGTCAATAGCTCATTTATTTTTATTGCTGAGTAATATTTTGTTACATGGAGCTATGGACTATAGCTCATTTATTTTTATTGCTGAGTAATATTTTGTTACATGGAGCTATGGACCATAGCTTAAAGAATATGTAAGCTGGGCCAGGCATGGTGGTTCACACTAGCAATCCTAGCACTCTGGGAGGCCGAGGGGGTGGACTGCTTGAGCCCATGAGTTCAAGACCAGCCTGAACAAGAGCAAGACACCATGGCATAGAGACAAAGTAAGACTCTGTCTCAACAACAACAAAAGAAAGAATATATGAGTCCTTTCTAGTTTAGGACTATTATAAGTCAAGCTGCTAGAAATATTCACACATAAATTTTCATTTGATTTATCTTGAGTAAACACCTAGGAGTAAGACTGCTGGACCACAATGATATAACTATGTTTAACTTCATAAAAAAGCATCAAACTGTTTTCCAGAGAGGCCGGACTGTTTTGTGCTCCTGTAGTTAAGGCATGAGAGTTCCAGTTGCTCTTCATTCTTACCAACACTTCACATCATCAGTTTTTTGTTTTGGTTTGGTTTTTTTGAGCCCAGTCTCCCCCTGGGCAGACTGCCATGGCATCACAGTTCACAGCAACCTCCGACTCCTGGGCTCCAGTGATCCTCCTGTCTCCGTCTCCCAAGTAGCTGGGACTACAGGCTCCCACCACAACGCCTGGCTATTTTTTGGTTGCAGCCATCGTTGTTTGGCGGGCCAAGGCTGGATTCGAACCCACCAGCTCAGGTGTATGTGGCTGGTGCCTTAGCCGCTTGAGCCTCAGGCGCTGAGCCCACATCGCCAGTTTTTAAAAAGCCATTGTAATAGGTGTATAGTGCTACCTCATATCAGCATTTGCATAATGACTATATTGAGCATCTTTTTATGTCCTTAGTTGGTATCCACATATATTCTTTTGATGAAATGTCCGAATCTTTTATCCACTTTATTTGGGTGGTTTACTTATTATTGATTTTTGCGAGTATTTTACATATTCTGGATATAAACTATATATTAGATTTGCATTTGAAAATATTTTCCCTAAATCTGTTGTCTTCTCATTGTTTTTTTTTTTTTTTTTGAGATAGAGTCTCACTATGTTGCCCTGGGTAGAGTGCCATGGTGTCATAGCTCACAGCAACCTCAAACACTTGGGCTCAAGTGATTCTCTTGCCTCAGCCTCCCAAGTAGCTGGGACTACAGGCGCCCACCACAATGTCCGGCTATTTTTTTCTTTTTTTTGGTTGCAGTTGTCATTGCTGTTTAGCTGACCTAGGCCAGGCTCAAACCCACCAGCCTAGGTATATGTGGCCAGTGCCCTACTCACTGACCTACAGGCGCCTCCTCATTGATTTTTTTAACTTGTGATACAATCTAATTTATCAAATCTTAAGTGGATTGTTGTTTTTGTTGTCATACATAAAAAAAAACTTCGCCAAAGTCAAGGCCCCAAAGATTTTTCCTGATTTCTCTTAGACGTTTTATAGTTTTAGATTTAAATTTTAGTTGGATAATCTGTTTCTAGTTTTGTTTTGTTTTGTTTTGTTTTTTGAGACAGTGTCTCAAGCTGTCGCCCTAGGTAGAGTACCGTGGCATCACAGCTCACAGCAACCTCAAACTCTTGGGCTTAAGTGATTCTCTTGCCTGAGCCTCCCAAGTAGCTAGGACTACAGGCACCCGCCACAACACTCAGCTATTTCTTTTGTTGTTGTAGTTTTCATTGCTGTTTGGCAGGCCTGGGCTGGATTCAAATCTGCCAGCTCCAGTGTATGTCACTGGTGCCCTAGTTGCTGAGCTACAGGCACCAAGCCTCGAGTTAATTTTTGTACATGGCACAAGCTATGGCTCAGATTTTATTGTTTTCTTTTTTGAGACAGAGTCTCACTTTGTTACCCTTGGTAGAGAGCTCACAGCAACCTCCAGCTCTTGGGCTTAGGTGATTCTTTTGCCTCAGCCTCCCGAGTAGCTGGGACTACAGGTGCCCGCCACAACACCCAGCTATTTTTTGTTGCTGTTTGGCTGGGGTCGGGTTTGAACCTGCCACCCTCGGTATATGGGGCTGGCACCCTACCCACTGAGCCACAAGCGCTGCCCTCAAATTTCATTTTTTTTTTTTTTTACTATTCCAGAATCACTTGTTTAAAGAACTTTACTTCTAAATTGAATTATTTCATACCTTTGGTGAAAATACTTTAAGCATTTATATGAGAAGCTATTTTGGAGTCCATCTTCTGTTCCATTGGTCTATGTGTATAAAGGTATGGCCTTTGCCAAGGTACTTTCTTTTACTGTACCTTTGAAGTAAGTCTTGAATCAAACAGTAAGAGACCCCCAATGTTTGTTCTTTTTTTCTTGAAGATATTTTGGCTCTTTTAGGTCCTTTGCCCTTCCATATGAATTTTTGAATCAGTTTGCTAATTTCTATAAATACTCCTACTGATATTTTTATTGAAATCATATTAAATTCCAAATCTAGGGAGAATTAACGATTTAATCATACTAAGTCCTCCGATCCATGAATATAGTCTATCTCTCCATTCATTTCTGTCATGTTTGATTTCTGTCATTAGTGTTTTATAGTTGCAGCATAAAGATCTTGTACCTATTTTGTTAAATTTGTGCCTAAGTATTTTATGGGTATTGGTACTATTGTAAATTATATTCTTTCTTTTCTAATTTCAAGTTACACTATTCGTTTCTGGTACATACGATTATAATTACTTCTTTGCATATTGACCTTGTGTCCCGAGTGAGACCTTGCTAGTAAATTTTCATAGATTCTTTGAGATTTTCTGTGTAGACAATCATGTTAAGTGCAAATAAAAGCAGTTTCATTTCTTCCTTTCCAATCTTTATGTGCAGTATCTTTTATTTCTTTTTCTTGCTTTATTCCACAGACTGTGCCGTCCAATACAAAAAGGACACTGCATACCTTTGCTTTGTTCCTGACCTTAAAGGGAAAATATTCAGTATTTCATCATTAATTGTTGTATTACCTATAGGGCTTTTGTAGATAGCTTTCAGGAGGTTGAGAAAGTTTCTCTTAGTGGTTTGCTAAGTTGTTTTGCTGGGGTCATGAATACATGTTGAATTTTGTCAAGCGCTTTTGTTTTACATTTACTGAGATGATCGTGTGGTTTTTCTTCTTTAATTTGTTAGTACTATGAATTATACTGATTGATTTTTGAATGTTGAACCAGACTTGCATTCCTTGGATAAATCCCATTGGTCAGATGTATTGTCTTTTTTATACATTGCTGGATTTGATTTGCTAATAATTATTGAGGATTTTATGGGTTTGTTCATGAGGGATTTTGGTCTATAGTTTTTCTTGTAATGTCTTTATCTTGTTTTGGTATCTGGGTAATGTTGACCCCATAAAAAGAGTTGGTAACTGTCACCTCCACATAGATTTTCTGGGTAAGATTGTGTATAGCTGGCATTAATTCTTTCTTACATGTTTTGTAGACTTCACCAGGAAAGTCATCTTAGCCAAGATTTATTTATTATTGCTATTGGAAGTTTTTAACAACAAAGTGAGGGAGCGACAACACAGAAGACTGAGAATTCCCCAAGCAGGGACTTCCCCAACCACCTGGGTCCAGAGACAAAGGGAGAAATGGCATGAGAAATTCACATGCAGAGTTTCTATGAAAAAATCTGCTAAGACTTGGAGAGACAGACACTGTATCTGCCTGTAGCAAGGTAGATAGGTGCTACCCTGACTTGAAATCTCAGGAGATTTTTATTAAGATTTTAGGGTATGTGTTACAGAATGAAGAAGTAAAGAGTTAATAGTCTCACAACTCAATCAGGTGGTCTTTTGACAATGAAAAAGCTCATCAGGGTGGAGGCACTAAATCATAGCACAATTCTCAAGGGCAGAAGTAAGTAGGTAAAACAGTTGCCTTAGGGAATAGGAGAGGAACAGTAAGTAAGGTTACAGTCTTCAGACTAGGTTGTTCAGCTCAAGGGTAATCCCCTTCTAACTGTGCTGATATCCTGTCTCCCCTAAGCTGCTGAATTTTACTCAGATGTCCCCAAATTAGTTTTCTGTCTATTCTGGTGAACATTCCAACCTCCCCTGCCCCTGCCACCATAGGCAAGCTGAGCAGCAGCGGGGAGGCTGAGCCCCAGTACTGTTCCTAGGTGCATCCTTTGGAATATCAACCTGCATTGTATTTCTACTCACAAAATTTAATTTCTTTTTTTTTTTTTCCTTTTTTTGAGACAGAGGCTCAAGCTATCACCCTGGGTAGGGTGCCAGGGTGTCACAGCTCACAGCAACCTCAAACTCTTGGGCTTAAGAGATTCTCTTGCCTCCTCCTCCCAAGTAGCTGGGAGGCTCCCACAACACCTGGAGATATATATATATATACATTTTTTTTTTTTTTGGTTGTAGTTGTCATTGTTGTTTGGCAGGCCTGGGCTGGATTCAAACCCACCAACTCTGGTGTATATGGCTGGCACCCTAGTCACTGAGCAATAGGCACTGAGCCTTAATTTCTTTTAATATTCATGAAGCCATCTATTTTCTCTTGAGTGAGTTTGGTAACTCTCTTTCAAGGAATTTGTCCATTTTTTTTCTAAGTTGTAAAATGTATGAACATAAAATTGTAATATTCTTTTTGAGACAGAGTGTCACTATGTCACTTCAGTAGAGTGCTATGGCATCACAGCCCACAGCAATCTCATACTCTTGGGCTTAAGTGATTCTCTCGCCTCAGCCTCCCAAGTAGCTGGGACCACAGGCACCTGCCACAACACCTGGCCATTTTTCTGTTGCAGTTGTCATTGTTGCCTAGCTGGCCCAGGCCAGGTTCAAACCTGCCAGCCTCAGTGTATGTGGCTGGCTCTGTAACCACTGTGCTATAGGTCCCGAACCAAACTGTAATATTCTTTATTACCTTTTAATATCTATAGGCTCTGTAGTGATGTCCCCTCTTTCCTTCCTAATATTGGGTATTTGTATTCTTGGTTAGTTTGATCAGAAATTTGTCAATTATATTAATATTTTCATAGGAACAACTTTGATTTTCTCAATTAACTTTTCCTATTGCTTTTCAATTTTCTATTTCATGGAATTCTGCTCTTATCTTTAATGTTTTCTTCCCTCTGTGCGCTTCACATTCAATTTTCTTCTTTTTCTTTTTCTCTTTAAGGAAAATACGCCTCACCCTAGAGGCATATATTGCTAATTTCCTTTTTTAATATAAGCATTTAATGCTATAAATGTTCCTTTAAACACTGCTGTAGTCGTACCACACAAAGTTCATATGTTGTATTTTAATTTTCATTCAATTCAATATATTTTATAATTTCTCTTGCTTTTAGTCATTCCTCTATGGTAGTCAGATGGCCCTGGGCAAGTGTGATAAACATGGAATAGGGGAAGCACACAGGAAGGAAACACCACCTGGGAGTCTGTGATTCTACAGTCAGTATTCTGGCTAAAACCCACATTGCCCCAGGCCAATTCCCAAAGAGCAATTTAAAGGAGACAAGATGAATCAGAATTCATCAGGCCATCCAGAATGTCCCTTTCCAGTTTAGCCCCTCTTGGACTGCCCTGCCTGGCATGGCAGTAAGGCCCTGATGCTAAGGTATCTCCTGGTGTCCAAGGGCCACTTAACACATGGTCCAGGAAGAAGGACATTTTGCCTCTGTGGCTCTGTGTCCACTGGCCCAAGACAATGATGATAATGATCATGAAGCCCTCACTATTCTCCAGGGACAGGGAGTTAGTACTTTATAATCATTGTCTCCCCTAAGCCCATAATATTTCTTTCAAAGTAGAGAGTATTATGAGTCCTTAACCAACCCTTACCACCTCTAACCAATCCTTGTTACCTTGCCAGGAAGGTCATGTGTCAGACCAGAAGTGCAGGTAGGAGTCTTCACGGGTTGGTTGAGAGAGGTATTTCCAGATCTCAGGTAACACGAGCTGTATGAAGGAATTAATCGAGGAGTGAGGATGGGATGAATCATCTGGCTCCAGGCATAGGTCAGATTCACCATGCCTGCTCATCCCTATTGCTTTCCCTCCAATCTAGAACATGAGCAGGCATTCTGTTTCTGATCCAAGAGACAAGGATGCTTTTGAAGAGAAATGCCAAGTTCCAAGCTGTAGCTTCATCCCACAGCCAGGCACGACCCTGGCATAAGAGCTGACTCTGCCCCCCAGGCTGCAGCAATGCAGGGTGCTGGCTCCTACACCAACCACGCCCTAGGCCCCTATTTATTCCTGATGCAAGGAAAGGAAATATGAGAGAGAGTGAGGGGAAGAAGCAGGCACCCGGAGACCTGCCTCTGTATGTTGGGGGTTGCAGTTCACAGGGCCACCTGTGGACACAGCCATAAGGCTCTACCTCCACCCTAGCTTGTCCCATTCTGGGGTACCATACTGAGTCCTTTACCATGAGCCCTATGGGCTGCAGGTACCCCCACACAGGGTGCTGATAGGGGAGGGGCTGGAGGGCCCAAGCCACAGGTGCCTTTGCCCCACCCCACGCCACATCAGGCCCCCTGCAGTGTCCTTCCGGCACCCTTCTTGCTGCATCTAGAGTAGGCTTTGCGCTGCTCCTGATTTTCTCCAAGATGCAGAAATTGCCAGTGGCGCCATGTTCTTATACCAAATTAGACACACTTAACTCAAGTGCCTGCTGCCAAGCCTGCTACAGGGGCTGACTCACCCTCCTGATGCCACTTGAAATCCACAGGCAGCCTCACCCTTGGGCCCCACCTTCCATCCAAGGCTCTACTGAGGGCCTCCCTTTGGCAGGGGCCCTTGTCAAGGGAGTGGGGAAGGGGGAGCAGCATCTGAGGAGGAAGCTACCACAGCAGAATCTCACCAAGACTGCGCGTGACTGGCTCGTGCTGCTGTGAGAAGCCCTGGGCATGAGGAGAAGGCATCAGCCAGGTCCAATTCAGAGCTGCCCACACCAGGGCCCCTGGGGTACCTAGGGTCCCCTCCTGAATCCCCTCTGTTTGCCTCCTTGGACAGTCCAAGCAAGGTTATCGCCAGGGATCAAGTCCCAGGGGAGGCAGGCAGTGTCCCAGTCCCAGGACAGCCCACTGAGGAGTGGTCTCAGACCAGGTCAGGTGCCCGAGGGATGGTCTCAGACTAGGTCAGGTGCCCAAGGGGTGGTCTCAGACTGGGTCAGGTGCCCTGTTGCAGGTCTCGGGGCCACTGGCTTCCCCTCTCTGGGCCATGCTTCCTCCTTCACGAGCCTGTATTTGGCATGAACCAGACCTCCCTGCTCCCACCGAGGCTCCTGCTAGGACCTGACCCCACAACAGATACACAGATGCTTCGAGAGCCTCTGCTGTATCTCCTCCATCAGACTGAGTTGCTCTGCTGAGAACTGCACTATCACCGCCCCCAGGGAGCCCCAGAGTCATGGATGGAGAGGCAGAGGGCTTTGGGGCTGGAAGGATTTGGGGACAAGATCCACTCAAATTCAGGCCTCCACCCCACCACTCTCTGGCTGTGTGAACTCAGGCAAGTTTCTGACCCTCTTTGAGCCTTGGTTTCCTCCTCCACCATAACATGGGAATGATCATTGAAACATCACTGGGGGCTCGGCGCCTATAGCTCAACCGGCTAAGGCGCCAGCCACGTACACCTAAGGTGGTGG